AGCGGCCTGCTTTACTTACTTGGGCAGATCGGACCGTGTTTTTGGCGACATCTCGTCGGGTAGTTTTAGCGAGGGACAAAAATGCCGAAAAGACCCCGACAAGGATCGTATAGGTCAAATTCGGGTACGAAAAGACATTGAAAATGTTTTAGGACTTTATTTCAAGTTTGATCTTGTCGGATAATTGGTTGAAAGACTCCCGGAGGGGTACGTGGAGATATAAAAGTGGCGGCTGATCGCAGGGGTTCGTTCTAGCTACTTAAATCGAATTTAGTTAAGAGAGTCGATAAGGGTTCAAGATGTGAAGTTTCCACTACATTTTTTATTCGGATCATTTGTTTGTCCATTTTGTGTAAACATAGATAAGCTTGTTTAAGATGGCTGGCTACCACAAAACTGCCTATGGTGAGCAAGATCAATGAGACCAGCTGTCGGTGATACAGACGGAACTGTTCACGGAAGAGCCATGGTTAGGAATGGCACTCTGGTCAAATTAAAATCTAAAATCAGAACGTTTGAGGCCGATTATAGTTGTCGACTACAGGCTCACCTGGTTAGCGGCGAAAACGGTTTGTGAGCAGAAAAGGTAGAAATTGAATTAAATTCCGTGAGCAAGATTGGGAAATAGCTTTAGCAATGCAGAGTTGGAATTGCTTATCAAGAAGGATCAAGCCTGGCAGTTAGGGCTAGGTTAAAAGAATGTCCTCCGAGGCAATGAATATGGCTACCGAATTTCTGCAAAGGAAAGTAGGAATGCATCTCATCGAAATATCGCGTGCGTCACATTGCCGGATAATCGACCGTGACTAAAAACGCGGGCATATGTGAGGTTTTTCGTGATTACTTTCAGGAACTTTTTTCCAGGGAGCCTGGTCTGAGAACTGGTCAGTTCGATGCCTATTTAGCCGACTTTCCTGACATGAGGCAGCTGAAGTGGCTAAAGTCGAGGTCCCACTACAGAGTCGGAAATTCTGGAAGTGCTGAAGCAGGTTGGCTGACAAATCTCCGGGATTAGATGGTCTTCCTACGAACTGGTACCTTGAGGTCGCCCGTTTTTTGTTCCTTTGCTGGAACTGATTTACAACAGCTAGATGAAGTAGGGAATTATAATTTCAACAACGGGCCGCCAGGTGTAATCAAGTTGCTACGCAAGAACATGAACGGTGGGGGATGGTTAGATAATCCTTTCGTCTTTAACTATGTTAAATAAAGAGTTAAAGATTTTGGCAAAGATCTTAGCCAACCGTTTGCAGCTTGTCCTGTCTCGTCTGATTGGCCCTGATCAGACTTGTGCTGTGAAGGGCAGGACGATTCAGGATAACCTTCATATGGTACGCTTGATCTTAGAACAAGTCGACAGTGAAGCCGCGCTGATCAATTTAGATCAGTCCAAGGTCTTCGATAAGGTTGACCATCGGTTTCTGGAGGCTGTCCCGTCGGCGGCCAGTTTCCGGAGCCGACTTTCGCTCCTGGATCCGACTCTTGTATGCGACCCCCGGTGCGCTGGTGGAAGTGAATGGGGGTAAGGTCGGGGCCTTTCGTATTGTCTCGCTCCATTCGTCAAGGTTGTCCGCTATCGCCCTTGCTTTACGTTCTTGCGTTGGAACCATTCCTTCGCAAGTTAAAGGCGAATCCGGTCCTGCGCGGAATTACCCTGCCTGGCGCCACCACCTCAGCCAGGTATTCTGCCTATGCTGACGATCAGAGCCGAGATTGACGAAGTCAGCAAAGAAATCAATGGGTATGAGATGGTGACAGGGGCCAAGATCAACCGTGATAAGTCTGTGGGCTTTGCGGTTGGGTGCGTGGAAGGAGTTTCTCTTCCCGGACCTTTCCTTCTGGACGGATGGGCCGATCAAGATACTCGGCGTCTGGTTCGGTCCTGATCTCCAGTTGGAAATGAATTGGTCGGAGGTGCAAGGGAAGGCTGAGGTCGCGGTTAATCTGTGGTCTCTGAGGAGCCTTTCCCTGAAGGGAAGGGCGGCGGCGTGTTTTCACCACATATCGATCCTCCTCTACCGACTCTCTGTGTTCCCTCCCGTATGCCCGACTAATGTCATTAGTCGGACCTTGTTCTCTTTCTTGTGGAAGGCAAGGCCCCTATGGTATCTCGCGAGATCTGTTGCCTCCATCCCTCTGAGGGCGGTCTGGGGATGCCCAGCATTGAGATTCGTCAATATATGCTTCGCATCACCTTCCTAGAACGAATGTGTCCGCGGTCGAATAGAGGAGGGCGGCTTTTTGGAAAGAAGACGTCCAGAAACATTTCCCCGTCCCTGAGAAGTGTACACTCGTGCGAAGGAGGCCGGCCGTACACCACGTGCCGAGTGTTCCTTCTATCGTGAATGTCGTCGCGCTCTGAAGCTCCTCTTGCGGGCTACGGTTGGCCTCTCCAACGCAGAGACGTTGTCTCGTAAGGCATTGTATCAAAGTATTAGTTAGGGGGCCGCACAAGATGATCTAATTGGCGAGCTCGGTCTTACGAAGCAGGAGGCTCGCTCGATATGGCCTTGGGCGCCTGGGTTGAAATGCCTCAATAACGTTGAAGCATCACTCACCTGGCTGGTGATTCGTGAAGCCCTCTGGGTCGGCAAGAGACTCTGTGCAGCAGGCTTGGAGAAATATCCAAACTGTCGTCGCTGTACTGGGGAAGTCGAGACCATTGGTCACGCCTTTTTTCGGTGCAAGTCGGTAGTGCCGTTGGGCAAGTTTGTTGAAGGCCTCATGGTTCGCATGTTGCAGGGAAAGTTTTTTGTCCTTGAAGCTAGCTCTGTTTGTAGCAATGTGGTTGCCGCAATTGACGAAGGCTGAACACTATGTGTTCTGTTGCTTACTAGGGGGTTATGAGAGTCGTGATTTGGACGACGCGTCAGAAGGGATTCCATGAGGGCGAGAAGCTCACCTCTTCCCAGATCTTGTACTTTAAGCATCAGCTTAAAGTCAAGATTAGGACGGAAAAACGGCGGCTCTCCTCGTCAAATTCAGCAAAAGGTGGGTGGATCTTGCGCGTTTGTGCCGTGTGAAAGGGGCTGACTTCGGTTAGGCATCAGGATATTGTTTACTGGGTTGAACATGGGCAACCATCCCGAAATTAGGGTTAGAATAGGAGTTTGTATTTTTTTCCATTAGTTTTTTTTCTTGTTCTGATAAACTTAGCTAGGGTGTGTTTGCTCATTGGTCCCTTTTATTTCTGTCCCATTTTTCTTCCTTTAGTTTAACTCCCCGTCCCTCCCTCGTTTAGGGTGGTCGGTGATGTCAGTTCTCTGGTGGATGCTGGGTTTCTCTTCCGGACCTTTCTCTGGACGGATGGGCCGATCAAGATACTCGGCGTCTGGTTCGGTCCTGATCTCCAGTTGGAAATGAATTGGTCGGAGATGCAAGGAAGGCTGAGGTCGCGGTTAATCTGTGGTCTCGGAGGGCCTTTCCCTGAAGGGAAGGGCGGAAGTATGTGTTTCACACATATATCAATTCTCCTGTACCGACTCTCTGTGCTTCCACTCCCGTCTGCCCGACTAAAGTCATTAGTCAAGGTCTTGTTCTCTTTCTTGTGGAGAGGCAAGGCCCATATGGTATGTCGCGAGATCTGTTGTGTCCCCTCCCTCGTTTAGGTGGTCAGTGATGTCAGTTCTCTGGTGGATGCTGGGCGCCTTTCGTTTCGTGCGTGTGCTTTCGTATTTGTTGTTGTGTATGAATGAGTGTGTGCTTGTGTGAGTGCTTTACGGTTTGAATGTGTCCTTATTTTCATAGTCCCGCATCGATTTCGTCCGGTTAACTGATATTTCTGCCACATTCAAAGTTTGTGGGGGGTTTTAATACTAACACTGATTTTGTTCAGTTTCTTGTAAATATATTTCGACATATTGTATATACTCATTGGGGATTTTTAAAAGTTGTTGTTTTTATGCCCCTCCCCCACAGACAATATTTGTATATAAGGGGTGTTTGGATTTTCATTGAGTCAAAGAGGCATTTGGTGGATGTATTGAAAGGTATGGATAAATGTGTTGTTTTGGTGATAGGAATATTGTTTAGTATGATAGGGGTCCAGTGGTTGGCTAGCTAAGTTTTTTATTCTAAGACAAGTGGTAATACATCACTGCAACCCCTTTTCGGCCTTGTACCACATTGTATAGTACAATAAATAAAGTAAATATTCTAACCCGAAGGAGGCTACGCCGAGGGCGGAGTCTCCTTCGAGGAGGTAAACCGGCCCTGAACCCGTTTGTACGGGTTCAAAATGGGCTATTACAGCCGAGCCCTAATGGCTCCAGGAATGCCCACGTTAAAAGGCCTTGTGCCACATGACACCCTCGTGGGGGGGTGACTCAATATCGATGAGTAGTAGTATTCTTAATTGAATAAACGATTACTAGATAGAATCTATTGTCCTGTTTTCATTACATGGAAATCGCATAATTTTTTGTTTTGCCGTAAGATAGAGTAAAAAAAACTAAGATGACACGTGTTTATTTTGAGAGGGACAATTTCCTAAACATGGTGATTGGAGATGTTGAAGCAGTGAAGAAAACAAAATGAAAGTGTTTGGATTTCTTGTCATCGTTATCGTATCGCACGAGTCTGTCATCTACTCTTTTTCCTGACCATCCTACTATTTATATAAAAAAAAATCCGCAGTGGGGATAGAAAATGACTTTCTTAATGTCATTCATTCTCGCCATCGGAAATGTATGAAAACTGCCGTCATGCAATCCATACAATTTCTCAGACAGGCAAAAATCAATAGCCACCCGACCCCATATGCTTGTTTCTCCAGTAACATATTTCGACTTCATTCCCTGGCGCCACTTTACAACAACGAGGAACGCTGCAAACAGGAGACGAGGAGGATGCAAAACAAGAAATGGCTAAAGATATTCTTGCCTAATCTTTCATAAATTCTTTCACGCCTCAAAATCATTTTTTGTACAAAGTCATTGGAATTTTACTTTTTGTATTTTCCTATTTTACCGAAATCAAAGTCAAATATATTTTTCTTGCAGTGAATGTTCTTTATGTGGTCAGTCAATTGATGGGACGTGGTTTGGGAAGCACTATTGACCTCCTAAATGGAGAGGTCATTGCAAACTGGCCAACGGCTCATTATCCGGTAAGAAAAATTTTCTCTGTATAGATTTTTTCCTTCATGAATACGCATTTTCTAGTTCTGTTTGTCTAAATGTATATAATGACTAATAATCCTTTTTGCCTGTTGTCGAAGTCATTTCTCTGGTTTGGTTAGAGTAAGAAAATAAATTCTTACAAAAACATATTAAACAAAATAATCACTGTTTACAAAAAAGGCAAGGTATTTGCTATAATTATGATTTAATTTTCGTGCTTGATTAAATAAGGTCAAAAGGTGTTTTTCTTTTGCTAGCTGAAAACCAAATTTCATGAGAAAAAATGATGAGTAACAAAGTGCACCATAAATAGCCACAGACGTATTTGTCAGCTGACTTTTATTCAAGCCTCGAAAGCTGAATCCATGATTTGATCTCTTGCCTTGCTTTCAGTTGGCGATTATCGTGACAATTAAAAATGTCAAAGGCTTATAACAGTTTATTTAATATATGCTTTTATTTTTTTACCAAACAAAACATTAACGGAAACTGGTTTAATAATAACAATAATTACATTATTAAACTTTTGAGAAAAAGAAAGAAAAAAGAGACCAAAAGAGAGAAAGACATGAAAAGATAGAAAGAGAAAAAGGAAAAAAAGGACAGAAATATTTAGAAAAAGAAGAGTGGGGTCAAAAGATATAAAGCGGAAAAGCATACATAAAGAGAAATTATTCTATTGTAATTCAAAATTCCAGTCAAGTTCGTAACGGACTTATTTCTAGAAGTCCACTATGTGACACGCCTGAAATATTACAGATATCAAAATACCCTCCTTTCTAATTCGACAAATGTTATTTTTTTCTTACTTGGTTGGAATTTTTTATTAAAAAGTAAGAAAGCAATAATTCTTAATCTTTCAATTTACATCCACTTTACAGCTTTCGAAATCTTATCTACGTCTGTTTATGCCATAGCATATTTTAATTTTTTGAAAAGTAAATAGTTTAAAAGTTTTTGATTTTGTGATCTTTAATAAATCGTCATTTTTTTTACTGCAAGACTTCCCACGAGTGCTTCGAATTTTGAGACATAAACGATGGTCAGGAGTAGGAGACGGCGGATTATAATTTTTGGTGTGGTTTTTGAGTTAGCAAATAAAGGTTTGATTTCCAGTTCTATTTTACACTGGCTCTATAAAGCGTTGGGGATTCGTAATTTCATCGGTCATTTCTGCCGCTTAAGAAAAATTAAACATGTTAATAAAATTCGAGGAAATATGGAGTTCCTCTCCCAAGAGATTCAAAGGGAAAACACCTGCAAGCTAACAATTTAAACTGGCCTCTGAATATTTCGATAATTTTGATAACGCGTATTTCGTACACGGTATTTAAAATATTTTTGACGGATAATTTTTAATTGTGTGCTTAGTACGTCATCAGGTAAAATGCGGAGAGTAAGAGCGTGTTCCGCCAGTCTTGTGAGTATAACAACCAGCCTAAGAAATCAGTATTCAAAATGTTAACGTTTATATGGATTTGAACAGTAGTCTCTATTTTCTTACCAACGCAACAGCAGTCAAGGATAAATCGGGAAAAAAAGATTATATATATATATATATATATATTTGTCAATCTTTTTTTTCCCGATTTATCTTTGACTGCTGTTGCGTTGATAAGAAAATAACAAGGATAGATTGAACCAGTAAGAAAACTTGTTAGTATTTAAAAACTGCAAAAGGGTTTCGATAAAGCTTCGAGAGACAACTAATCCGCCCTTTTGTCTATACATACCGAAACCTGACATTTTGTTTCAGCAAATATTACAATGTTAACAAATAATTTCCTGATGTAATTCTTTTAATTAAATCTATTTGATAAAACTAGATTATTAAACAGAAAATTCAGTGGAATTGAATTCCCTATAAACGGCTTATGCGATTATTATGCCTATGCAAAAACAATGAAGGATAATTCGGCCAAACATACAATGAATTATCTTTAAATGGGAATTGAGGCAGTAATCTATCTTTTAAGCTCCTGTTCACAAAATTCATTTAAATAATTGTTTGTTGCCCATGTTTTGAATATTAAATGTTCTAAACTTCACTCCATTCCCATAATGTTTTGTTTGTTTTTTTTTATTATTGAATAGTTTTTAATTATTTTAAATCAGTTTTGAATGCTTTATTTTGCTGAGAAAATTTTCTTTTCTGTTTTCTCCAGAGGGATAATTCTCTTCCTCACGATTTGGCTGTTGCTCCAAATGGCCAAGCTGTCTACGTTGCAGACATTCGCCAGGAACGAAATCCACTGTTTAAACTTCAATATTGACGAAATAAAACAAAAAAAAAGAAACACTCCTTAAAACTGAGAAAGGATGAAAAAAGGAAAGTAAGAAAGGAGGCATAGACTGAGAAGAAATGTAAAACAATGACAAACGAAATCTCGATGTCCGAACGACATCGCAAATCCGTACTGCTGTTGAAATCTTAGTGCCAGAAAATAAGACGTAGTATTTTTTAGTTTGACGTTTCTCACATCAGAAACGAAACAGCATCTTAGTATTTTCCTTCATATATCTTCACCTTTGAAAATTTTTCAAAAAATAAAAAGTACCGGGTATATGCTGAGAACATGGCCGAAGATCGGTGCTGGAAACTAAGACAAGTATTAGATTCTTTACAAAAGGGTGAATGTAAACACTGAGAGATTTTTTAAATCCTTCAAAATAGACAACAGCTAGTTTTCATGAAGAATTAACTCAAATATTTCCATCCTTTGGTCATTCATTCTAAATCTCTTTCTGTATATTTGGCTTTATTTACCGCTTTTATTCAAAGTAAAAGAAACATTTCTCATAATGCAACGTCTCTTTCCAGAAAATACTTTTGTTTTCTGATATTTTGGAATGGACTCTTCACCACTCCATAGATATTTTGGACTGTTGTCTTCAGCTTTGTTGTTAACTCAACGCTTCGGCCGATGCATTCTTCGGTCTATCTCATGTTGCGTCCGATTTTCAGAATCCCCTTCTCATCAAAATCAATTAGTTCAACAGAATCACGAGATTGCAGTCACGCGTTATCAATAAAATTACTGTTTGAAGTGATTTTCCCCGCGTTTATTTTAAATTCACCCTGGTTATGATCACTAATTAAATATTTTTTTTCAATCGTGTTAGGAATTCAGTCTCGTCGCTGTTGAGTTCCTCTTCTAATCTTGATTAGCTTTCTCAAATAAATGTCCGGATGCTTGTTAGGAATAACAATGACGTTGTTGGCATCTATTTTTGATGACTTGCAGTTGGCCGTGTTCACATCCTATACACACACAAAGGAACAAACATATTTGAAAATTATACCTTATGAGAATTTTTTTATTGATAATTTGAAAAGTAACTTTCTTTTGTTGTAGTTTTTATTTCTCGCTGTAGTTCTTCCGATTTTATTTTAACACCTCAATGGACAGCAATTATTTAAGCCAATTACAAATGTTAATTGGTAGATTGCGTTTTTCAAATCGCATCAAAGTAAGGTTAAACAGAATATAAAAAAAAAAACAGTTAAAAAAAATGTATTTTACCGAAAATTAACTAAAATGGTTAAATTTTTTAAAAGTTTCAAATCAAATGTTCTTTAAAATATTTACCGACTTTTGTTTTTAAATGTTTTGTAGCTTTTCTCTTTACAAACCGAGAAAGATGTGTTATTCCATTGTGTTTGCAAAAATAAAGAAAAATTTACTTCCTTTCCTACTTTATTTTATCAATGCACTTATAAATATGTTGCATTTGTGAATTTAAAAGTTACTACAGCAGGCAGAGAAAAAAGTGGAATGCTCTTCACCTAAGCGGTCAGTTCATTACTTGACTTCATTTTCGGGACTAGAATAAACTATTTTCACTTTACTAGGCAAAGTCAAATTGGCGCTCAACAGCAAAGTATACTTTAATTACCAGCCTAACATATTTCACAACGGCGTCTGATCAGAAGTTACTTTATTATTGACCATCCGTTCATCATAAGAGCATATAGAGCTAACTTAAGTACGGTTTATTCACTAGCATCTTAAACTCACCGCTGTCGTGGTTTGATAATTTTTACAGTGCAGAGAAAGTAAAGAACAATCCCCAACCTGCATAAATATTTATGAGATGAGCAAATTGCACCAATACGAACGTCTCAAAATTATGCAGCAGTTCAGAAAATTTCCCGTGGTTACTCAAGAAGAACAAAAATGCTTAAGTTGTCACTGTAGTCGTAATTTATTTTTAATCAGTTCACCCAAAGTAACGCAATAAGTCCACTAGGACGCAATAGTTACTTGGTGAAAGTATCCGAGAAATTATTAAAGATAGGACATTAAAAGAACAAGAAGTAAGACAGAAGGTGACGATTGAGATTGCATTTAAATTTTTGAAGCTGACTGGAAAGTAAAGAATAGCATGATGTGTGAGGGAAGAAACTTACTATAGAGCTTATGGTTAAATGCGACGATTTCAACGGTAAAAAGAAGAAAGCTACTCAATTTAGTACGGCACAAAATCGTAAATCGGTAGAGGGAAGCTTCTCAGAATTAGCAGTGGGAAAGTGACCGATGTAGAGATGGTAAGTCTCAACAGATTCTTTGGATTTTATCAAGAATATAAATACATAGGAACACCAAGGCCAGATGCGATATCAATATTTGATGAATGGCAGATTTATAAATGTGCAAGATTTTTGCGAGAAGTCTTGTTTAGCACGACACCTTCCTAGCAGTTGGCCTATAAGCAAACTTCAGTGTTTGATAGAAAAGTAATTGAGCATTTTTTTTTTATGAGGCAAAAAAAAAAAAAAAAAAAAAAACACACACACAGCAACGACATAAACAGCAACGACATAACATGGGGGGGGGGAAGGATTATTGGAAAGGGATTATTAGAAGAGAAGCCTTCTTCGTTTCACCTCTTGACACAAAATTTTTTTTTTTTACCGTAAATAAATTGGTTACTTGAATGTTTCGCGACAAAAGACCTTTTGTTTTGGGGGCCCGCCTTAAAATATTCATCCAGTCACAGGTGTTATTTAATGCATGGTAATTTGGGGGGGGGGTCATATGAACAGGACTAAGTTTTATTAGAAGACTAGTTTATAAAATCTTTAACAGTTGTATTTTATTAAAATTACGGAAAAATAAGTGGTGATCAAACTAAAGGACCAACGCAAAAGCTTTAGAAAATTTATTTAGAAGTTCTTAACATTGATAATTTTAGTAGTAGTAAAAAAAAAAAAAAAAAAAAAAAAAAACAAACAAAACAAAAAAAAAAATCTTATTAAGCTACTAAATAGCGAATTTAACTTTAATTTCTTCGATCTGATCAAGTCGTTAAAGCGTTTAATAAAATAAGGAGTTTCTCTTCAGAAATAACGCTCAGACATCTTTGTCTTTTGGTTCTGTTGGCAAGTCAATTTCCATCTTTACTGGATTTTTTTCCTTTATGCTTAGCAAGCCGTCTGTTTCTTCGACGGAAATGTCAGACTCGTTCTCACCACTTTCCGTGCAGGAATCGGAACTTTGAGAAATTGGCTAAAAAGAAAAAAGAAAAAAAATTTAGAAGATTTCAGATCTATTTCACAACCTCAACAGGAGAAACACGAAACTTTTTTTTTTTTTTTTTTTTTTAAATCGATTATATATAAGTGGGTGGAGCTTTTAATACCCGTAACATAAGAGATTATAGAGAAATCTTCATTAGTTGTGAAGCGAAGAAGCTTACCATAGCGTTAAGTAAACTCAGTAAAGTAAAATATTTCGCTATGCCGGCGATCGAAGATACCATTAAAGTTTTAATATCAATAGCAACTATTAAGTCATCGTGCATTAGATTTAAGAGAGGAAACCTTAAAAAGGGAAGATACGTATATAATAGTCAATGTAGCAACGAAGACATTTAAAAAGCTTTTTTCCATCGAATTTACGTAGCTTTCTTGAAAGAGAACATTACCACATAGTCAGGATCGTTTTCTTCCTGGTAAAATGTTACCGAATTAATAAGATCATTCAGAAGTCCTCCATTTGAGCCACACAAACCTGAAGTTAGAAAAATATATCCAAGTTGTCAGTTTTCGAAATACAAAGTTTCAAAATTACATCTGCGAGAGTTAAGTGGAAACTTGCCTAACATTTGTTTACTGAACTTGATTCCTGAAAGAAATGTCAAAAAGCAACAAAGATTATCGTTGGAAAATCTGTAGAATATGTTCAGAAACCATGTGAACTTTCCTTCCTTTTGCCGCACACTACAAATTTTTTTTTTTTTTTTTTTTTTTAAAATCAAGCCTCATTTATTCTATACGTTCCGATGGGTATTAGAGTTAACTGCAATTTTAATTTGGCACGCCTTTGACAAGCTTCATACAATGAAACAGCTATTGAATAAAGATCAGAAGAGACTAGATTCATGTAAGAAGTTTAATAGCAAAAAAAGAAATTAAATGAACTCACCAACAGACTCTTTCGATTCTAGTCTGAGAATAGAGTCACTGGGCTTCATGGGACGCACGGTATCAAAGTAGAAAGTCATTAAGTGATTCCTTATGGATGTCATACCAAGTGAGGAAGTGTTTTTCTAGAAAAATAGATCACAATGTAAACCGATATTTTTGATAATCGGACAATTCAGTTTAAAAAATTTACACCTAAATTGATCAGGAAGCCAACTATTTTTCTTCACAAGTGGCAAAGTAGTAAAAAAAAAAAAAAAAAAAAAAAAGTACAATATTATGGAAAATTGCAAACAAATTAGGCAACAGGTGCAGTTTATAGCAACTATTTTTAAATATGAGATCACTACCAGTCAGTAATCGGGTATATTGGGAAAAAGTCTTTATGAAAGGCAAAAGAAATTTTACAGCTTAGACATTTGTAAGAAGCCTGAAACAAGGCATTTTCGGAATGGTTTAGACAGACAACTTTGAACAAATTATTCAAAAATGTGTAATAAAATTTAGATTTGTATTACTTTCAATAAATGTGCGTTTGAAATTATTTGCTATACTTTCATATGCGTGGGAAGTGTGCAATTTGGTCTTAGAATTTAGAAAAATAGAATCGGCGAATTTAAGCAAAGAAAATTTGGAGGTCAAAATAAGTGTAGAGAAACCAGTATGGTGACTTACCACACGACGTCCAGCCATTGTAATATCAAATTTGGAAGCGTGAAGACAAACTTCCAAGTCTTTGACGAGGTTACTAATAAATCGTAAGAAAGCAACCAAAAAAAAAAAAAAAAAAAAAAAGCAAATATATACAAAGATTAATGAAATAAAGAAAACACTACAATTAGGTCA